GGCAGGGTGTCTGAATTGCAAACACAGAGAATGACACCCCGTGCCAACAATGCACATCCGACACTTCTCTCTCCCTCCAGATCCCTCCTTTTTGCTCCCGTGCATTGTTTTCCACGCTTGTCTCCCGGCAGCGAGAGCGTTTCCCTCTCTTAGTGTCAATTAAAAGAGTGAACTCTCTGCATTTGTCAACATATCATCTCCGGGCCCCGGCGTGACGCGTGGATGATTTGTCAGTGCTTCCTGACACGGTGTTGGAGACGGTGATCTCCCTCATTAGAGACAGAGCGAGAGCCATCATATCTGACATGATACTTACCAGCTGAACCCCCCACTCTCAGCCACGAGTCTGTCAGGCCTGTCACATCAAGCCCCCACCAGCGTCTCCTCCTCTCTCATGGAGAAGCCGAGACTGAGAGAACAGTTCCTAAGGGCAGCCATTTATTCACAAAGTGAAAGATTTGGTGGACGTGCAATCAAAAGTTTGTTGATGCAAGGATCTCATATAGATGAATCTCACAAACCTGTCAACATGTCACCCTCAAATTATAATTAAACCCTTACATTAAGATTATATATATATATATATATATATATATATATATATATATTCCATTACAGTTAAGAACTGGTGAAGTGATATTCTCTTTTAGTGATATAGTCTATTCTACTGTTATAGTTTTAGTTTTAGTCTATTAGAAACATTTATGTTTTGTTTTCATTTGAATTTTAGTAAAAGTTTTAGTAATTTTGTTGTGTTTTTGTATATTTTTGTTCTTTTTAAAAATGTGACCCTGGAGCACAAAAACAGTCATAGCTATCATATCTGACATGATACTTACCAGCTGAACCCCCCACTCTCAGCCACGAGTCTGTCAGGCCTGTCACATCAAGCCCCCACCAGCGTCTCCTCCTCTCTCATGGAGAAGCCGAGACTGAGAGAACAGTTCCTAAGGGCAGCCATTTATTCACAAAGTGAAAGATTTGGTGGACGTGCAATCAAAAGTTTGTTGATGCAAGGATCTCATATAGATGAATCTCACAAACCTGTCAACATGTCACCCTCAAATTATAATTAAACCCTTACTAGCCAACAATACATTGCATGGGTCAAAATTATCAATTTTTCTTTTATGCCAAAAATCATTAGGATATTAAGTAACGATCGTGTTCCAAGATATTCTGTAAATTTCCTACCGCAAATATATCAAAACGTCATTTTAATCAGTAATATGCATTGCTAAGAACTTCATTTGGACAACTTTAAAGGCGATTTTCTCAATATTTAGATTTTGTTTTTGTTTTTGCACCATCAGATTCCAGATTTTTTAATAATTGTATCTCAGCCAAATATTGTCCTATCCTAACAAACCATACATCAATGGAAAGCTGAAAATGGAGACTTATGACTGGTTTTGTGGTCCAGGGTCACATATGTCTGTTTTTATAGTTATTTCAGGTTTACTTTTTTCATTTTTGATTAGTTTAACTTGAAGTACAAAAATAACAATGTTATCTTGGCAGAAATTAAATAATTTTGTTTTTAATATTTTATATACAGCTGTTTCACAAAATAAAAAATGTTATTTAATGGTTTTATTATTAGTTAACAGTAATATCCACGATCATTATTCATTATGATCGTGATTATTTCAGTTATTTCAAGTAACAGTTTAGTTTTAGTTAATGATGATATCCCTGATCATGGTAGAAAAAATAAATCTTTAATTTCTATTAAAATATTTATACATCATGCAGTGTCTTTATGCTGATTTTTCTTAAAAAATAATTTTATTACAGAAATGGGGTTGATTGTCAGTATCAATCTTGTGAGGTTTCATGATAATTCAATGTTTCGTGAAGCTTTATGTGAATGTTTATTAGTTATGCTATCATTTTTCTGATACACTATTATAATTTTAGTAATATTTTTAATTAGTTAAAAAAATGTTTAAAAATGTTTCATTTTAATTTGAAAGTTTTAATAATTTTGTCTTTTTTTGTTCTTATTAAATATGTCTGATTTATAGTTATTTTAGTTTTAGTTCTTTTAGTACTTCTTTTTTGTGTGTGTGGTTTTAGTTAACGTTAATATCCTTGATCATCATTTAAAAAAAATTAAATCTTGAATTTTTATTTAAGTGTTTTAAGTATTTATACTTAACAGAAATTGGTTGTTAGTCATAATAGTTACTATATGAAAAATGTCTTGTATGCAGAATATAATTTTGTATTTTTTTCAGGTGACTATGATATAGATTCACATATAATATTTATAATTTTTGTATGCCTTTACATTTTCTTTTATTGTGACATACCATTAATTATTATACTATTATAGTTTTATAAATATTTTGAATTATTTTTGTTTCATTTTAATTTTAGTTAAAGTTTAATAGTTTTGTTGTTTTATTAGTTGTTGTTTTTTAGGTGACTGAGCTGTATGTGTTCTTGTGAGGTTTCATTAGATTCACACATATAATGATCTAATGTTATTTGAATTTTTTGTGAATAATGTTCTTTTACAATGTTTCTTAGTTATGATTTTATTTATCATATTTGTATGCATTTCCATTTTATTGTGATATGTCATTATCATTACTTGGCAGACACTTTTATCCCAACCGACTTGCATTTTAAGTAAATCTTTTTTTTTTTTTTTCAATTCATGAATTCCCTGGGAATCAAACCCATGACCTTGCTGTTGCTAGCAGTAGGCTCTACTGTTCTAATACATCATGCAAGATGTCATTTAAGATCTAGTACTTTTGAAACCTAAAAGAACCTTCAGAAAGCTAAAATATTGGTCAAATTTGGTCAGTAAGCGGGGGGTTTTTGTGTGAGAAAATCACTTCTTTCTGTGTCTTGAGGTAAATGGCACTGATTTCATGTTTGTAATGTGGAGGGATGTTTTTAAACATCTCTTTCCTTAAATGACTTCAGTGTGATTTTATGCTCTTTTAAAGACCGAGTTGACTGTGTTGTGGTCTTTGTCTCTGGGAGTGTCTCTCTCTCTGGAATGTTCTGTGACTCCCTTCAGATGATCTTCAGTATCTCAAGAGCGATGTGTGCAGATCATGGCATATAAACAAAAAGCTGCATTGGGTACCTCAATCTAATTAGCTGGCATGAACTGATACTTTTGCCTGAATAATGGCGCAAACAGTTCATATGAGTGTTTTGTTACTTAAAGGGATAGTTCACCCAAAACTGAAAACTCTATCATTTACTCACCCTCAAGTTGTTCCAGTTCTTGTATGATTTTTTGTTCTGTTGAACACAAAAAAATATATTTTGAACAAGGTTGGCAGCTAAACCGTTGACGGTAGCCATTGACTTCCCTAGTATGGGAAAAAATATTATGGAAGTCAATGGGTACCAGAAACTGTTCTGTTCTGTAATGTACTATAACACTAGTGAAGCAGAAATAAAATGACTGTACTTTATGAAAAAGCCTAAAATGATTCCACACATTTACATTTATGCGTTTGAGACAATTTTATGACTTCATACATTCCCTGCTTCATGTATTAAAATCACAGTTTGACTGAAAAATGAAATATAGGAAAAAAAGGAGTTTAGCTGCATTTGCAGATTGGGTTCATTTAATAAAATGAAAGCAGATGTTGTACCATTCGTCCACTCAAACGCCACATTCAGTAATGTCACATACAGCAATATACAATTATGCTTTTGTCTCGTAATAAGATTTAAAAATGTACATCAAGTAGAAAATAATGGTATAAATGACAACAACATAATACAAAAATATACAAATACAGTCATCACATCTCACAGTATTACTGTAACAGCAGAGAAACACAGAATCAATCCAGTGGAAAAACAACACAGTGGATTTAACCAGAGTCCAGTGTTAAACATCAAATACTGACCGTGTCTGTACAGAAACACATTTACGTGTAGAAAAACTCTTTGCACTTTTTCAGTGCTGTTCATTATATATCCGTTACTTAAGCGGACCTCATCTGTGAAATCAATCCAGTGCAGCACAGAATGTCACAACACATTTTATAAAAAACCTTGCTGAAGAAATTTGAGAAAAAAACTTGAAATTCTGAAAACATAAAAGTCTTGACTTTTTGGGTATATTAGCAAGGCACCCAGTAAATGCTCCAACCAATTTGTATATTATTGCCTCTATTTAAAAGGCCTTTCTGACATACAAAACACTATGGACAGTAACATGCCGACTAATAAAATCTCTCATGTGTGTCATTTTCTAGGATATCACATCTCTTATACATGTTGGCATAATTAGATGCTTTTCATTATACATGAAGGGGAAAATATTAAATAATGGTCAAGTTTATGTACAGGAACAGTGTATTTGCACCTTTATCCACATGCTAAAGTACCATTAATTAAAGCCTGATGCTGTGATTCATGAAAGCTCTGGTTAATGATGGAATAATCCATCCTTCTCAATCGAATATAGAGCAAAACAAAAACGTTTGACATTAAAAAAGTCAAAACACGTCACAAACTGAACACTTATATCATCTACTTGGACAAAAAAAAAAAACTTTATTGCCCAAAACCCCCAAATTGTGACAGTAAAAAAAAGTTACCGTCACAGTTGTATAAAACACAATAATTAGACCCCATATAGCAGAAAATATATCGAATACAATTGTTCTGCCCAAAATATATTGTAAATATATGTTAAATATATGTTGTAAACGAAGTGCAATTAAGTATATTTTTGACATTGAGTTTCAACCACCATATATGCAAAAAAAAAATTATGAATATATATATATATATACATACACACACTTTTTTGGGGGGAACATTCAGATTTTTTAATGTAAACATCGATAAAGGTACTATAGATACATATTCTAAACATTTTGAACTATATGAAGGGCAACATATATTTTAAAAATATAAATATATTTGATCAAAAGCATTTAAAAAGTATGCAAAATATATATTGGTAGAAAATATATTCAAGCAAATATATTTTAAAGTGGGCCTTTTTGTTGTTGTATATTTTGAAATATATTTGAAAATATATTTTTTGCCATATGGGATGGAAAGTGGTCAGTTTATATTTCTCACATTGGCTTCCCAAGCTGAAGATGTCCACTGCTCTCTTACTCACAGTGGTGAAAGTGGAGGATCAGCAGTGTTTTTCTCCATTATCCTTCCATGGAAGGCACACGCAGCTTTGCTCAACATGTCTCGACACACAAAAGCCACATCTGTTGGTTCCATGTGTGTTCGGCCCAAACCATCCACAGGACGACCGATGTCAGATCAGTCTCTCCTCTGGAGGCACCTTCAGCACGCTGCCCATCTCCAGTCGGGCTCCAGATACTTCCTGCTGACTCGGGCTGTAGGTTCCCTCCGACTGGCGCTTCTTCCGGGCCGTGAGAACCAGACAAACCATCCCGACCGCGGACAGCAGGACAGCGAGACACACCAGTGGGACAGCCACCATCAGCCACGGCACACGCTCCTGCTGCAGCTGCTTCTGAGGACCACACCGAGGAGGAAAACACAGAATCCAGTCATAAAATGGGTTTTAACGTAATTAAAATGTATGAAAAAACGAAACATTTCATAGGGTCCTATTATTTTTTAAAGAATAGTTTTTCTAATAATTATTGTATTTTGATTATCAAAATGTAATTTTAAAATTAATTTTTCTGGGTTCCATTTTTTACTTAAGCTTTAAATTTTAAAGCAGAAAACATAGAATTTGGGAAAAACAAAACAACATTTTGGTGGCAAAAAAAATATAACTTTTATTCATAGAGCCCCCCAAAAACGTAATTTTTGTTTAACTTTTAATAAATTGATGTTAAATTAAGTTTCATGATTTTAGTTCATAAGACGTGCTTTTTGATTGCTAAAATTTAATTTAACCACTAAAACTAAATCCAGAAATTTAAATTGGAAAAAAAATAAATAAAACTGAATCCAGTAAAAAAAGGGAAAAAATAAAATGAATTTCATCAACACCCTAAATGCTTTATTTTTTGTTAAACTTAATAAATTGTTGTTAAATTATGCAAGTTTCATGATTTCAATTGATTAGACAAGCTTTTTAATTACTAAAATGTAATTTATACATTAAATCTGAATCCAGAAATATTTAAATGGGGGGAAAAAATCCAAATCCAGTACAAAAATTAAACAGGTTTTTGGGAATGAATGAATGAAACAGATTTTGTAAGGCCCTAAAATGTAATTTTTGTTTAGCTTTTAATAAATTGTTAAACTGTTTCATAAAAGTTTTATGATTTCAATTAATAGCACATGCTTTTTGATTACTATAATTAAATTTAACCATTCAAACAAAATCTATAAAAAATTATAATGAAAAATAAATACATAATGGAAATGGAAAACACAAAATTTGGATTTCATGGAGCCTTGAAATGTTTGTTTTTTTTTGTTATTAAAATTAAATTATTAGACATACTTTTTAATTACTAAAATTACATTTAAAAAAAAAAAAAAGAATCCAGAAGTATTACATTGAATTTGAAACAAAAAAAAGGATAATGAGTGCCCTAAAAAAAAAAATATTCTTCATAAATTGTTGTTAAATTCCACATGTTTCATGATTTCAATAAATTAGACATACTGTTTGATTATTATAATTTAACGGAACTATTAAAACAGAACAGAAAAACCAAACCGAATTTAGAAAAATGTACAGGGAAAAAAATGAATCTGGGGGAAAAAAATAAAAGATAATTTCAGAGAAAAAATAATTGTAGGGTTTTAGAGCATGAATAAAACAAAAGGACAAAGATTAAATGAACTGAATGAACATGGAGCAAGAACTGACCGTATTCTGGCAGTTTTCTCCGCTGAAGTCGGACACACACTCACAGAGGTAGTGGTTGTGTCGGTTCACACACGTGCCTCCGTTACGACACGGGTTCGACTCACACTCGTCTATATCCACTTCACATCTGGAACACAGAAAGTCATCAGTCTGCCTGCAGTCTGCATATTTAATCATCATGTGAGCACATCTGCAGAAGACTCTCACCTGTCTCCGGTGAAGCCCGGTCTACAGGAACAGTTCGCTCCCCACGAGCCCTCGCTGCAAACACCTCCATGATCACACCGGAAATCCACATCACACTGCCGAGGAAAACGCCACCTGACGGATAAATGATCCGTAAAGGGATTCACATTTACTCTATAATGTGAATAATACATCATAGATATTAAATCCAACCAAGCAGGCTCCTTTTCTTTGAATATGGATCAATATGACACATAAGTTTAGCATACCGTACGTTTAATCTGATTTCGAAAACTATGTTCATTTAAATAAGGCTGAAATAAAATAAAATATAATCATTTCACCAGCAGTATCTGTACTTTCACTCAAGTAATGGAGTTGAGTACTTTGTCCGCCTCTGGTGATTTGTTACTGACTTTCATATTAATGTTTACACCAGGCTATTTAAACATAATTATTACAAGCTTACAAGGTTGGAAGTTCAACAAATCAGTCAATATACTGTGATTGTAGTTGTTAAATAAAAATGTAATTCATATCAATTCATGCATCACCTAATTTCATCCTAACATATAGGCCTGGCCTACAGAAAAGAACATTTGTGTTTAATCTATCTAATATTGTGTTGGTCATACTATACAATGATTTATAGCTTGTCTTTGTTGAATAATACAGAACATAAAGAGCTTTAAAAAATAATTGCGTATTAAATCGCAATTTATTAACAATGCTAACAGTCCCACCCGCTGAAAGCTGCGCCGAAAAAGTGAAAGACACCGGCGATATGTTTCAAAGTATATAATAAATAAAACAAAGTATATGTTTCAGTCCTGTCACTTTTTTACTTACTTTTACACTTTTTCTTTCTTTTCGCTATTACCACAAACAAGCTACGAATCTGAGTGCAGGAGCTCTGCGTTAAAATAGAAACGTCAGTGGTTTGCTGTGACCCATGACTCTCGCGAACAGCACTGAACGCGCACTTTGGCCGATACAAAAAATGTATTATTATTTTAAACCATTTATCAGCTTATGTAGGCTCTACAACAAAGGAATTGCTGATCTCTAGTGATGTCTTATTTTTGTAATAGCTCATTTGTTGGTAAAGGGTGAGAGGTCTGGCGAGCCACATGATTTTTGTCAAAGAGCCAGGTGTGGTTCCCGGCCACTGGGTTAGGGGACAGAAAATATTGTTTGGTCAGTATAAAAGTAATAGAAGTCTATGGAAAGTCACACAATTCACAGAAACAAACGTGTGTGTGTGTGTGTGTATATATATATATATATATATATATATATATATATATATATATATATATATATATATATATATATATATATATATATATATATATATATATATATATATATATATATATATATATATATATATATATATATATATATATATATATATATATATATATATATATATATATATATATATATATATATATATATATATATATATATATATATATATATATATATATATATATATATATATATATATATATATATATATATATATATATATATATATATTATAGATGGATCATGTGACACTGAGGACTGTCCTAATGATGAAGAAAATTCAACTTTACATCACAGTAAAAATTGCATTTTACAATATATTCACATAGAAAACATTTCTAAATATGTTAGTTATATGTCTAATAATATTTCAAATCTATTACTGTTTTTACTGTATTTTTGAACAAATAAATTCAGCCTTGCTGAAAAAAAAAATCTATATTTAGCAACTAAGTGGTCAGACTCACTGGCAGAGCGGTCCGGTGTGATCAGGTGGACAGACGCAGATGTATCCCACAACCGCAGCCGCACACGAGCCTCCGTTCTCACAGCGATGCTCCTGGCACACATCCGCCTCCAGCTGGCAGTTCTTCCCAGCGTATCCGGGAGCGCACTGGCACTCGTAGTCCCCCAGCAGATCCCGGCACGTCCCGCGGACGCAGGGCCACCAGCCGCACTCGTCCACGTTCTCCTGACAGCGCTCGCCGGTCCATCCCGGGCCGCATTCGCAGGAGAGGAGATTGAAGAGATCCGTGCAGGTGCCGTTGTTCTGGCACAGATCGGAAAGACAGGAGGAGGAGCTGGTGCATCCCAGACGAGGCTCAGAAATCCCGCCGACTCGCATGAACCGGGACGTTTGTGGCGCTTCTTCCTCTAGGAGTCCTGAAAACGGTAAATAAACGCCACCGATCCGCACCTCGCCCAAACAGCCGGTGTAGTTCTCCGCCAGCCAAACGCTGGAGGAGTTGAAGAGGTCCATGTTCCCGGCGGGATCCGAACTGAATCCGGCCGCTTGTCTGTCGATGGAGAGGTGCCACCGAGACGCCGCTGTCCTCGAGCTGGACAGGTAGAGCTCCACCTGGTGCCAGTCTCCGTCCGAAATGGGGACGTCGCTGGTGAAGGTGTGCACCTCCAGACTGTTCCCGTCGCGAAACTTGACGATGAGGGAGGAGTTGAGGAGCTCCATGCAAAAGAACTCCATGTGGCTGGAGGTGCGTAACAGCGTCCCGTTCTCCTCGCGCGTCCGGAGCTGCATCGAGATGCTCATCACAGGGACGGACAAGGAGCCGTCGGCGCTGAACTTCAAAGCGTTGCTCTCAAACGTGGCGTTGGCTAAACCTGCAGTGAGGAGGAGATTATTAACCCTAAAAAGTGCAAAACCATAAGGAGACATCAGAAAATTCATTTGTTGCTATTTTCCATCTTATTGGGAATAATAAAATAATACAATTTCATGATTGTTTTTGATTTTAATGTTTGTATCCCCCAGGATACATTGCCTCTTTGGAGGTATACATTTACTGAACACAGAACACTTGTTTATCAATGCTAACATGGTTGTAATTCTTAGTGTCTGAAACTGTAGCTTGACCAGCTACAAGCTACTCGTAAATTAAAGTCGTTAAGCTACATTCAAGCTACTCTTCTGAAAAAGTAGCTAGCTACATCGAAACTACTTTTCATTTTTTTTTTATTATTATTATTTTAATGTTTTTTGGTTTGTTTACATTTAACATTACAAATAACTGAATAATTGTTCATAAAGTATTATAATGAAGTTATAATACTTCATTATAAGTATTACCTCCACCCATCCTCACCACATTCTATAGGGGCACCATTGAGTGCGTGCTGACCAGCTGCATCACTGTCTGGTATGGGAACTGTAGTGCAGCAGACCGCAAGACCCTCCAGCGGACAGTGAACACAGCTGCAAAGATCATCGGTGCCCCTCTCCCCTCCATCCTGGACATTTTCCTTACACGATGCTCCAGCAAAGCCAACAGTATCGTGAAGGACCCCACTCATCCCTCCCACAGTCTCTTCCAGCTCCTACCATCAGGAAGACGGTACCGGAGCATCAGAGCCCGCTCCGCCAGACTGCTCAACAGCTTTTTCCCCCAGGCTGTGAGAGCCCTGAACTAAAATAACCCCGCCCTCCTCTGAAACCCCCACATAATCCCCCTACCTCCTGGAAACATGGACCATCTCACTTCCTACACCCCTATCAAGCTCAACTTGACTTGACTTGACTTGACTTGATAAGTAAAATATAATGAAGTTATAAGTAAAAACAATATATTGTAATGCAATCATGACTTTAAAGAGTAGGGTCAGATTGATTAGGACACTTTTTCCAAGTCATTTCAATGACAAAATATGTCAAATCATTTGATTTTGTAAACTATCCGATACACACAATAATAAAATAGAGTTATATATAGTTACATTATCTCAAACTGACTGTCAAAGTGCAAAATTGCTACAAACATAACATCAATGCAAGAACAAAATGAATGCAACTTAAACTGGATACGGAGGAGTCGTAAAATGAGCAGGTTTAAACTCTTAGACTGTGAATGGAGCCGCTCTGAGATGTCAAACATCAGATTTTCATGTTACGGATAGTGTTATTTTATTTTATCATTTTAACATTATCATTGAGATACTATTATAGTTTTTTTATATTTAGAATTAGTTTTTATTTTTGTATTTTCCAACTGAATTTCATTTTAAGTTTTCATTTCATTTAATTTTCTGTTTTCGTTTCATTTTAAAGTTTTAGTAATTTTGTTGTCATTTTTATTTCTTTTTTTTAAATATGTCTATATAGTTTTTATACATTTTTATTTTAGTTTTAATTGTTTTATCACATTAAGTTAAACCAAATTAAAATTATATTTTAATTTTAAAATACTAAAATAAAGTATTTTTTCAGTTGATTTTATTCCAAGCAACAAAATTGTTTTATTTTTTAGTTAACCATAATAACTCTGCATCTGGGTCTACTTGGATTCAATACAACTCACTAAAAATTGCACTATGAAAAATAAATAAATAAACAAACCAATAGTATATCTTGTCATACATTACAAAAAAAAGTAAAGGAGAACATTTTTAAAGCTATATTTTTTTTAATGTAAAACATCAAGAATTTTTAAGTTTTAGTCATTTTGTTCTTTTTCATCTATTTATTTTTTATTTCATTTCTGTTTCAGTTATTTTAGTACATCAAATTAAAACTAAATGAAAATGAGAATTGTTACTTTGGCAACTACAGCTGGGAAAAAAGTTCATGTTTTTTATATTGTATTTTATTTCAGTTAACCATTATTTTATTTCAAAAGTTATAAGTAAAAACAATATATTGTAATGCAATCATGACTTTAAAGAGTAGGGTCAGATTGATTAGGACACTTTTTCCAAGTCATTTCAATGACAAAATATGTCAAATCATTTGATTTTGTAAACTATCCGATACACACAATAATAAAATAGAGTTATATATAGTTACATTATCTCAAACTGACTGTCAAAGTGCAAAATTGCTACAAACATAACATCAATGCAAGAACAAAATGAATGCAACTTAAACTGGATACGGAGGAGTCGTAAAATGAGCAGGTTTAAACTCTTAGACCGCTCTGAGATGTCAAACATCAGATTTTCATGTTACGGATAGTGTTATTTTATTTTATCATTTTAACATTATCATTGAGATACTATTATAGTTTTTTTATATTTTGAATTAGTTTTTATTTTTGTATTTTCCAACTGAATTTCATTTTAAGTTTTCATTTCATTTAATTTTCTGTTTTCGTTTCATTTTAAAGTTTTAGTAATTTTGTTGTCATTTTTATTTCTTTTTTTAAATATGTCTATATAGTTTTTATACATTTTTATTTTAGTTTTAATTGTTTTATCACATTAAGTTAAACCAAATTAAAATTATATTTTAATTTTAAAATACTAAAATAAAGAATTTTTTTTCAGTTGATTTTATTCCAAGCAACAAAATTGTTTTATTTTTTAGTTAACCATAATAACTCTGCATCTGGGTCTACTTGGATTCAATACAACTCACTAAAAATTGCACTATGAAAAATAAATAAATAAACAAACCAATAGTATATCTTCTCATACATTACAAAAAAAAGTAAAGGAGAACATTTTTAAAGCTATATTTTTTTAATGTAAAACATCAAGAATTTTTAAGTTTTAGTCATTTTGTTCTTTTTCATCTATTTATTTTTTATTTCATTTCTGTTTCAGTTATTTTAGTACATCAAATTAAAACTAAATGAAAATGAGAATTGTTACTTTGGCAACTACAGCTGGGAAAAAAGTTCATGTTTTTTATATTGTATTTTATTTCAGTTAACCATTATTTTATTTCAAAAAACAAAAATGTTTTTTATGGTTTTAGTTTCAGTTTTAGTTTACTATAATAATGCTGCAACGTGTACATTTTCACTTTGCAGGTGCCTTCATGACCCTAAATGAGAAATAGTCACACTTTAAAGACAAACATCCTTGGTTAACAAGTATTTCTGACACCTCAAACTGACCCGGAACATAAGAGTTAAAGGAGTAGTAGGGAAAAAATACTATGGAGGTCAATGGTGCCAACATTTTTCAAAATATCTTCTTTTGTGTTCAACAGAAGAAAGAAACTCATACAGGTTTGGAACAAGTGGGGGGTGAGTAAATGGTGACAGAATTTTCATTCTGAAAGTGAACTACTTTAAAGGTTTATTTTTTCGAATTGACTTGTTGAGTTTCGTGAGCTTGATTGTCAGTTTTCTTGCAAACTGAGAAACAAGACAAAAGTCAAGACAAAATTCAGCTGCCAGTGAATCCTCAACAGAGCGGATACTCACACTCATAACCGTCAGGTAAATCCACACATCGAGTCCCAGAGTCACACGGATCGCTGACGCACCACACGCGAGCGTCGCATGTCTTCCCGGAGAAGTTCAGTGGACACGAGCACACAAAGTCATTCCAGATCACCACACATTTCCCTCCGTTCTGACACGGCTTCATCTGCAATGAGAGAGTCAAAGAGCAAACCCTGAGAAGACCAGCCAGAGAAGTGAATAACACCAAGTTCAGGAAAGTAGAGATAGTGAAAATACACACTGTCATTCAACAGCTGGTTAGAAGTTTTTAATGTTTTTGAAAGAGTAAAATCAGTAATACTGTGAAATATTATTACAATTTAAAATAGCTGTTTTCTATGTTAATATATTGTAAAATGTGATTTATTCCTGTGATGCAGAGCTGTATTTTCAGCATCATTACTCCAGTCTTCAGTGTCACATGATTTTTCAGCAGTATTATTTAGTATCATCGAGATATTATTATAGTTTTGGTAATATTTTGAATTAATTCTTTACAATAACGTCTCATTTGTTAACATTAATTAATGCCATAAATATGAACTATATAATATATTTACAGCATATATATTAGTGCTGTCAAATGATTAATCACGATTAATCGCAACCAAAATAAGTTTTAGTTTTTTTACAAAAAAAGCTATTTTTTTTACATGCGTGTATACTGTGTATATATATTATGTATATATAAATACACACACATGCATGTATATTTAAGAAGCATATGTTACGTTTAAATATGAAATATATTTATATATAATATAAATTATATGAATATAAATATATACATGTAAATACATTTAAATATTTTCAAAATTTACACTGTATGTGTGCGTATTTATGCATAATAAATATACACAGTACACATATATATTATACGAATGAAAACTTTTATTTTGGATGCGATTAACTGTGAGTAATCATTTGACAGCACTAATATATATATATATATATATATATATATATATATACACACACACACGTGTATACATAAATATATATTTACAATATATGTTTACAGTATTCATTATTAATCTTTGGTAATATTATGTTCTCAGTGCATTAACTTAAATGTTAACAGACACAGTTTTTGATTTTAATAATGTATTATTATATGTCAAACTTGGCATTAACTAAGATTAATAAATGCTATATACGTATTGTTCATGTTAAGTAATATAATTAACTAATGTTAACAAATGAAACCTCATTTTAGGGTGTTACTATGTTTTTTAAACATATATTTTTTATATACATTTTTATTTCCATTTCAGTTATTTTAGTACATCAAGTTAAACTACATAAAAAATGATAAATGTCTTGGCAACCAGCTGAAATATATATGTAATTTATAAAAAATAAACACTATTTTTCCACAAATTTTTTGGGTTAAAAATGATCCGAAAGCAATATTTGAGCAAGTACATAACCAGCCAGTGTTCAAAACTATCGCCTTACTTTAGCCCGATTCACAACGGTTATCTTATAATAATGTTTTCTAGTTTGAGTGCTACGTGTAGGTTTTCGTGGGAAATTCGAGCATGGCACTGCGTCATTACATCACGTCTGTAAACATAAAGAAGTTGTCCCGGCTAGTAGGCTTTCGCATGTGAGGATCCTGCAGGTGGCGGATCGTTTATAGCCTTTTCTCACAGCAGCCAGAATAATTAAATGTCATAAAATAATTTTGATGGCGGATTGTAATCCAGAAAGGATTATGTGTTTATGAAACACATGTGAATGAAATTCAATTATATTGCAGTTTTAAATGTGCTTCTGTTTACAGATAGCCTGGGATTACACAAGAGTTGTATTTTAAAGACAACCAGTTCAAAGGGAGCATAATTAGCTTTTTGGGTTAAAAGAATTTCTTAATATGAAATTCGAACGGTATGACAATTAGAGATTAGACTGTACAGAAATCGAAATCTACACACTAGTACACACTATACTCAGTCACGCAATGCTGATGTTGTTAACATTAATAATCTGAAAATAAAGTATAACAATAATAATAATTTGCACGGTTTGATGTGATATGTGCTAATCGATCTTTAGATTTAATCACCATATAGTGCGATTTATTGTAATGCTTTTTTCCTCAGTTGGTCAGAACAAATGTGGCAGACTTGTTCAGATGACAATATCCGGTGAAAATTCTTATTTGGGTCATATATTCCAAGACATAGGCTAGAATCTGTGATTACTAAGTATAGGATTCACACCGGTGCGGTGACTAACTGCCACACATACTCCTCCTCAAAACATTAGATTCATCCGCGCTGGAGCCGTGCCAGATTACAACCCACGAAGACAATTCCGCAAGTAACTATAATTCCAGGTTTTTAAACAGAGATGGCGACAAAGAGGTAAAACTTACGGACTGCAGCTTTAACATTTATTAACAAAAAAAAAATGTTTTTGTTTTATTTTTAGCTAACTACAATAACCATGATCCTTCAGGACTTATTCTAATATGCTGATTTGCTGCTCAAGAAACATTTCTGATGATTATCCATGTTGAAAACAGTTGTGCTGCTTCATATTTCTGTGAAAACGGTGATACATTTTATTTTTCAGGATTCAGAGATGATCAGAAAGTTCAAAAGAACAGCATTTATTTGAAATAGAAACCTTTTGTAACATTATAAATGTCTTTACTGACACTTTTGAACAATTCAGTGCATCCTTGACGAATAAAAATATTAATTTCTTTAAAGTTCTTTAAATTTTGAATGCTAGTGTACATCTTATAATTGCGCACGGCATCTCACCTTGCACGTCTGGTCTCCGGCGCAGCCCTCCAGCACATTAGAGGAGTTTCTGGGTAAGTAGCTGGGATGCTGTGGTTTGTGGCTGATGCTGCCTGAGTACATGTACAGCTGTGTGTCGTCTATACGCACGTCCTGCAGGCAGCCCTTAAAATATCCACCCCACTGTCTGCCGTTTTCTCCTTCAGGAAGCCCACCGAGATACGCCACGTCTCCAGCCTCCACCTCAAACCCAATCAGCTCTTTTGGAGTAAAAACCTGCTGCGTTTGGTTAAATAATATAAAGCCTCGTTCTTTTTTGATGGACACACAGACCTTCTCCCCGTCGGTCAGGAAGCTGGAGGCTCTTCTGATGGAGTTGTATATCGCAATGTATAACGAGCCATTGTTTAGGAAAACAGTGAGGTAAGCTTGATTCTCACGCTGGAGCTGAAGGACCAGTCCATTCAACTGACGTGATTTCAGCCACAGCGACACGCTCACATCACCGGCATGCTGCTGCATGATGGGAAACGCAACGAAGCTCCTGTTGCGCTCGGGACTGAACGTCCATGAAGTGAACTCTGGTGAGAAAAATAGTTTTAAAGTAGTGCTGTCAAACGATTAATCGCGATTAATCGCATTCAAAATAAAGGTTTTTGTTTACATAATAAATGTGTGTGTACTGTGTATATTTATTTTGTATATATAAATACACACACAAAAAGTATATATTTTGAAAATATTTACATGTATATACATTTATATATGTATATTCTTATATTTTATATAAATATATTTATTATATAAACATACCATAATATATTTTTCTAAGTGGGAGAACTTGCACAATTGGTGGCTGACTAAATACTTTTTTGTCCCACTGTACATGCATGTGTTTGTATTTATATATACATAATAAATATACACAGTATACACACATATATTATGTAAACAAAAACTTTTATTTTGGATGTGATTAATCAGCATTATTTTAAAGGTTATAGTAGATTAAAAAAATATATATCCAGGTCAAATTTCAACCCAATAAGAGAAAATAATCATTTATAATTTTGTTTTGTTTTTTACTTGTGACAATAGTTTCATGGCAGTTAAAAATGACTATTTGTTCAAAGATTTTATTTGAGCATTTTGGTAATTCTAATTACATTTTTATTCTCGTTCAGTTCTCAATGATGATTGCCTTTATCTAGATCAGAGATTCACAATCGGTTTTGTCAGATGATTAAGTCAATATTTCAACAATTTTACAACACAAAATGATAATATATTTTATAA